TCTGTTCTCCTCTGGATTTCAAAGCTGATGTTATTAGTTTTGTTTATGGCTGTACCGAGGTATATAAAATCGTTTAATACCACGAAGCTGTGGTTTTCAAGTTCCACAGTGGGTCCATGTCTACTGGACGTCTTGCGCGTTGATACCATAAGATTGGTCTATTCCCCATTTACTGTCAATTCGTTCAAAGTTACCGCTCGCAATATTCGACCCATTATGTCGATGTCGTCGACGTAGGCGAGTAACATGTGCTGTTTGGTGTACAGAGTGCCATTTCTGCTCCCATTTGCATCTCGCATGACCTTTTCCAGGAAGATGTTAAATAGGTTACACGACAAACTGTCACCTTGTCTGAATCCTCGTTCATATAGAAGGGCTCCGAGAGCTTATTTTCGACTTTAACAGCTGATCTTTTACCAGTTAAAGTTATCTTGCATAGCCATAATAACATTGCAGGAATGCCAAACGCAGACATGGCTTTAAACACTTCTGAACGGACACATGTGTCGATGTGTTTTTCATCGGTCTTTTCCGGGACATTTAAAGTGAAAATCTGGTCAATGGTGGATTTTTTTGTTGGTATGGTCTAAAAATGTCATTGGTCACAGGCTTAAGTCGTTCACACAGTACGCTGAATAGCACTTTATAGGCGATGGGTAGGAGATATTCCTCGATAGGGGGCACATATCGTCTTGTCTCCTTTTTTGTGTCCGGGGCACAGTTTGCTGAGGTTCCAATCATTGGACATGTATTCCTCTATCCAAATTGTATCAGCTAGTGCATGCTCCTGACCAGCATCTGCCCACCAGTCTTGAATAGTTCAGCTGGTAATCAATCGGCACCCCTGTTTTATTGTTTTTCAGCGGATTAATCTTGGCTAGATGGTATAAAGTCTATACCGTAATATCTTATTGGTTCTGGGGCATCTTTAACACCGCCACTATTTGATACCAGAATTAGCAACCCCAGGAGAGAGCGCGGGAGGTCGGTGTCAACAATTAAGATGAAAGAGGGTCTATGATATGCCTGGGCTTCGCCATGTTAAAACCAATAAAATCCGTTGCTTTATATCTATCATCCCTTACGTCATCCACATGGTACTATAAATAACCAGTAAGTATCTTGGATACACAGGTGATTTCTCCAGATATTGTCTTTTGGAAGAAAACATGTACCTTACAGAACGTTTCCCCATTTTACAAAAAATTTCCATCGTATTGTTCATTTTTGATCGAAGTGGGACAATCCTAGTTCATACCATAATGGGTCATATGGCCGCTACTTCGTTCGCAAAAGAAAAATTTGAAAAATTTATTGCACGGATGGAAGCTCAACCAAATGCGGACTTTTGGTCAAACCAAAGCCACTATTGATGATGTATGTGGGAGGCCATTTCAGAAGATCTTAACTGCTATGGCCCACCAACACGCATTCCAAATGAATGGCAGAAAGTGGCGAACATCTTCTTTTGGGTCCATGATATGTACGTGTGTATCATCAATACATCCGACAACACCTTGGAACTTTGTTTTCGAATAAAAATAACTTATTCTTCCCTTTTTACTCCTCCGTTAATTTGGATACAATCCAAATTTTACAGATTAGCCGGATAACTTCGGCAGAAACCACAGACATTGTCGGTTGAGCCATGCCAAGGTTGAAGTCATTGCTATGGGATTGCTCACAAAAAACATCAGAGCTGCACATATTTTTAAGAGAGGAGGAATTGCTGTTGACCGCCAGCCTTTCGGAAATCAGGGTTTAAGGCTTCATCTATGTACACAACGGCATCTTTTGGTAGTCGAAAATACGCTTTCAAGCTAATATGAGCAGTTGATTGAACATTTCTCTAAACGTCAACATCTACTCCCAGAACCTAAAGCTTTCTAATAAATGACACACCTTGAACATAATTTTCATCATCAAAAAATAGTTTCACTGATCTTAACATCACATATAATTAGTTTTTCTGAAATATTTTATTCATTTTTTTGTTTGTTTACAATATTTCTAGTTGTAGAAATGTCAAAACAGTATTATCGACAGCAACTGAGAAAAATTAAGTTTTATTTCAATTGCGTTGCCAGTTGAACTCGCAACTGGAGTTTGGTTGCTTTCCATAATCGACCCATAGAATTAATTCCAAATTTCATGATTCGAGCTCTATAGGATAACCCAAATCTTTATGTTATCAAATATGGTTCACATTAATATAAATCCAATAGAAATCATATTTCCCAATTTCAGGATTCCAACCCGATTGATTCACTCAAATAAAATTACGACGAATTTCCAAAATTCCCTACATACCCCAATCCTACACTCCAACAGTAATCAATATTCCAGCTCTATCGTTTCACCCAAAACCAAATTTGGTACCATTTAGTACACATTAGTACAAATTTTTAAAACTTCCTATATTCCCTGAATCGTACACCCCAACAATGCTCCTAACTCCAAATATCAGGATCCCACCTCTATCGATTCACCAAATATTCAAATTGTACCTAATTTTATACACATAAGTATGAATTTTCAAAACTACCTATATCAAACAACAAATGGAAATCTCAATTATCGATTTCAAGATATAGTGGATATTAGTATGAATTTCCAAAATTCCTTCATTGCCCAATCCTGCACTCCAACAATGATCCTATCTTCAAATTTCAAAATTCCAGCTCTATCGATAAACCCAAATCAACATTTGGTAAACTTCCTACATAGCTCAATTCTTCACCTTAACAGTGATCCTAAGTCCGTATTTCAAGATTCCAGCTCTATCAATTGACCCACAATTTAAATTGTACAGAATTTAATACACATTTGTACGAATTTCCAAAACTTCCTACATGTCTCAATTCTATACCTCAACAGTGATTCTAACTTAAAATTTCCATATTCAACTTCTATCGGTTCACCCGAATCCAAATTTGGTACCATTTAGTACAAATTTCCAAAATATCCTACATATTTCAATCGTACACCCCACCACTGATCCTGACTCCTAATTTCATGATTCTCGGTTCACCCAAAATTCAAATTTTATCAAATTTAGTATCATTTAGTATACATAAGTAGGAATTGCCGAAACTACATCCATACCCCAATCCTACGCTACAACAGTAACCCTATTTCCAAATGTCAATTTTCCAGATACGATTTAGTACTTTTCGTACACGTAAGTAAACAATTTCCAAAGCAGTGATCCTAACTTCAAATTTCCATATTCAACCTCTATCGGTTCACCCACGTCCAAATTTGGTACCATTTAGTACAAATTTCCAAAATATCCTACATATGTCAATCGTACACCCCAACAGTGATCCTGACCCCAAATTTTACCCAAAATTCAAATTGTACAACAATTTAGTACCATTTCCAATACTACATCCATACCCCAATCCAACGCTACAACCAGTAACCCTATTACCAAATGTCAATTTTCCAGGTACGATTTAGTATTTTTCGTACACGTAAGTAAACAATTTCCAAATTCCCAATCCTACACTACGACGTTAATGTTAATTTCGAATCAGCTTCATACATTTCTTCAAATTCAAATTGTACTAAATTTAGTACAGTTTAGTAGTTTTCGTATAAATGAGTACACACTTTCAAAACCATTTTCTTATATCGACCCTACTTCTCAACCTTTATTCGCATTCCAAATTTCAAGTTTTTAGCTCTATCCAGTCACAAGCTACGAAAATGTACCAAATTTAGTACATTTTAGTACTTTTCAGATACTTATAGTTCGAATGCCCAAAAAATCCTTTGCTACATCTATTCTACACTCCATTAATGTCTCTCAATCTATATTTCAGGGTTCTTGCTGCACCTGTTCGCCAAATACAAATGGTACCACATTTGGTACTTTTCGTACCGTTCTATTACGAATTTCAAAAAACCCAGCCTTATCTGACCCCTTTGGACCAAGAGTGGCTATAACCCAAAATTTCAAGATTCTAACTGCAGCCGTTTCGTCTGGGCGTTGATCGTTAGGTCAGTCAATCAGTAATTCCCCATTGTAGGGTAGAGAAAAAATAAATAAATACAAATGTAAATAGTTTTCTATAAAAAAATTTTATTAACTTCATTTATACACAAATAGACATTTTCTTTTATTAATTAAACAAAAAAGTTGTTTCTCTTTTGATTTCATTTTAAATAAAATAATACAATACTAAAATGCGTTACAACAGAAATGATGATGGGGAATATTTTGTTTCTTCTTCTTTTTGTTTTGGGATGTTATGAAACTCAAATACAAATGGAAAATAACTATTTACTTGTAGAACAGTATGTATGTACGTATGTTAAACAAAATAACTGTAAAAAAGTGTGTTAGTTAAACAATAATGGAATATTTATAAATTTATTATGATGAGTTTTTATAATTTTTTTATTTTATTTTTTTTTTGTATTTTTTCATGAAACAAACAGTCTAACTAAACATTGAGGCTCAAGGATTCGGTATGAGGGCGATGCGGAATACGACTGGTAAGTGAATTTTTAATTTCATCCTTTGTCTTCTATACTGGTGGGTGGTCGCGGGCTATCTCGTCCTCCTCCATGCTTACATGTTTAGAGGAAGAAACAACAATGATTATTAAAAAATGTATTTAATGCTAAAAATACTTATTAAATAATTTGTCACACGTTAAAAAAGTTTTTTCGTTGCTTTTTTATAAAAAAAAAAAAAATAATAATAATAAAAATCTTACAACTAGTTATATAAAAAAACAAGGTCAGAGGTGTAAAAAGTTGAGTAAAAGTCAGAATGCACAAAAAGAGCAAAAGAAACAGAGTGAGAGTGAGTAGTAGTGGTAGAATTTCTTTGTAGTCGTCTTAATTAACTAAAACTTGAGTTATCATCCGTCCGTCTGTTCACATTTTCACAGATTCACATTGAGTATTCAGTTTTCTTTTATTCTTTTTGTTCTCTATTTGGTCCGGTTGTTGTTGTTGGTGGTTTTTGCTCGCTGAGGTCCGTCCACTTAATGTGAGGGTACACCGTACGAAGAGCTTGGCGCCGATGGTGCTGAGGGTACAGATGGAGCACCATAATCACCAGAAGGAGCTGGTGCAATACTGTTAGGATAGGGTCCAGTTTCTTCCTTCTGGGTCTTGTAACGAATGAAATAGACTTCAGGTTTGCTGGGTTGTGTTGGTGCCGGTGTGGGAATAACAATTTCGGGTTGTTCATCGGGTTTCTTAACCAACACATAGACCAGAGTCTTTTCTTCGGTTTGTGGCAATTGTGGTATGACTGGGGCGGTGGGTGCTGGTGGTGATGGAGCCTTAATGAATACAATTTTGTAGTGTTTCTGTGGTGGTGGCACTACAATTGGTTTTCTGCAAAAAAGAAAAAAAAAAGAGAGAAAAAATATTAAAATTCCATGATTTTAACGTGGATATAGAGAGTAATGGACTTAGAAATTCGTACAGAAAACTAACAACTTATATTGGCGAAAATTGATAAATATGGAGAAATTGAAGCTGTTTATTATTAGCCAACTAGCCGGTACATTATTCAAAACTGACTTTTAGACAAAAAATGATATACTACATAGAAATGTGAGTATTCTATATATTAACATGTGACTGAATTCGCAAAAAAAAATAAAATATATATTTTCCCAGTGAAATTTCGAAGAATTGAATATTTAATTTTATTTTAAAACACAAATTTTCACCCAATGAAAGCTTAACTAAGAAAATTATAGTTAATTTAATTAAAAAACGTGACAAATGTTTCCATACCGTTATATGAGGGCTATACTAAAAAAGTGGACCCATATCGATATATTTGGTATAGAGATTTGCTACCCAATGGAAACTCAAAGTATTAAATTGCAGCCAATCGGTTGAAAAACGTGACAAAAATCTCGAAAAAAATGAATATTTGGGGATATACCAAAAGGTGGACCGAAATAAATAATTTTCAATACCAAAAATCTTAGGAGTAATAGTAATGTATGTGCAAAATTTCAAAGCTCTATCTTAATTAATATATCCCTAGCCATCTTTTTAGAAAAGCAGTAAGGAAAGTAGTAAAGTCGGACGGGGCCGACTATATGATACCCTTCATCACTTTGGGTATATTCAACAGATGAATCCTAACAGACATCGCATTTTTAAAGGGCCAGTAAAATGAAATTGAATCAAACAACATGTCAGTCTGCAACCGATACTAAATTTTTCATTTGGTCAGATATAGAAGCTATATTTAACTTAACACACATTATTCTAGACCTAATTCATTACACTGTGCCAAATTTCGTGCAAATCGAGAGATATATAGAGACTTTGGTGCACCATTTACATTAAATCGGATGAAAATATATATGGAAGCTATATCTAAATCTGAACAGATTTCCCCGAAACTTACTACCATCATTCTAGACTTCATTCATTACGCTGTGCCAAATTTCGTGCAAATCGAAAGATTTATAGGGACTTTGGTGCACCATTTACATTTAATAGGAGGAAAATATATATGGGAGCTATATCTAAATCTGAACCGATTTTCAGGAAACTTAACACACATCATTCTAGACCTAATTCATTACGCTGTGCCAAATTTCGTGCAAATCGAGAGATATATAGAGACTTTGGTGGACCATTTACATTAAATCGGACGAAATATGTATGGGAGCTATATATAAATATGTACCGATTTTTATGAAACTTAACACACATCATTCTGCACCTAATTCATTACGCTGTGCCAAATTTCGTGCAAATCGAAAGATATATAGGGACTTTGGTGCACCATTTGAATTTAATAGGACGAAAATATATATGGGAGCTATATCTAAATCTGAACCGATTTTTCCCAATTTCAATAGGTCCTAGGGCCAAATAAGTGACCTATGCCAAATTTGATTTAAATCGGATCATAAATGCGACCTGTACTTTGTTCACAAAAAAACACGGACGGACAGACGGACATGCGTAAATCGACTCAGAAAGTGATTATATGCGTATTCTCAAAAGGAACCATGTGCCTATCACGTTTCCTTTTGCCTGTTTTGTACCACAGTGTGGTGAAGGGTATAAAAATAGCGAGCTTTATCGTGATTTCAGAAGACAGAAAAAAATAATCTACATAGAATTGTATTCCGTTCATGAATCTGTATCTAATTTATAGAAATATTTTGAATATTTCGAGGTGTTGCAGATGGAATTACAAATTTAACATACACTCCATCTTATGGTGGAGGATATAGATAGTGAGTAGGTTGGTCACTTAAGATTCCGCCAAAGCCAAATGGCTCTCTCATGGAAGTCCTGCTCTCTATTTGCAAAACAACTCTAGCAGTCGATTTTCACAATCCTCCTTAGATACCAATTTTTTTAGAGAAATTTTTATCTTTAAAGAAATTTTGCAATGCAAGAATAAGATGATAATCGCACTGTATGGCGGATGCATTAAAACTTCCCAAACAAGCTCCGAAGTTTTTGGCGATCACTGTAGATGTGTGTGGCCTAGCGTTGTTCTGATGGACAGTAGAGATCAGAATTTAGCGTTTGGCCATATGGAAGCAACTCATAATAAAATACTTGCCTTCCAGTTCCTGTCCTGGTTTGCCCACCGTTTGAGGTGCTTCACCGCTCTTTGACCACGATCGTTTTCGATCTCATTTTCAGTCACATTCCGCTTAAGAAATGGTTCTATCTCACTTCGTGTGGCCTATGCTTCGCAAATGGAAATTAGATCCATCCTATTTTTTGCTGTTAATTGGTGTGGCACTCAAACATCGAGCTTCTTTTTGAATCCAGCTTTGTGTAAATGGTTTAAAACAGTTTTATGATCGACTTTTAGCTCCTAGGTGATATTACGGTAGTAAGTTTGCTAGCTAAGAGAAATAAACTCTACTCTTCAAATAACAATCTGAGCCATGTTTAAGAACGACTAATCATGCAATTTGGTCCTTCGACTTGGAGAACCAGAACTTTGTCAGATTTTTTTTTATTTTAGGATTAGTGTTTGATTTGTTTCAAAAATATTGTTAACATCATAGAATATAACGTAATATGTTTTTTTAATATTTAATAAAATGGACTTATATCACTTTCAAAATAAACGACTCAATTAATCATGACATGTTTGTTTCCAATAAAGACTAGAGTTTAGAGATCACTTTCTGCAAGAATAGAGTTTAATTTCCGATTCACTTATTATTATTTCCGATTCGAAAGTAAAAATTGTTATCATTAACATTAGAGATGTAAATTAGACAAAAAACTTCTAAAGAAGAATAGGAAATATTCCCACACCTCATACCTGACTATCTATAGCCTCCTGGCAGGTCTTTATTATTTACAAAACATTTTCATTCATTTTTTTTGTTATTATTAATTAAAACATTACATGTTTTAATATGAAACAATAACGTTTTCATATACAAAAACACAAAAATAAAATAATTAAAAAAATGAAAGGAAATTTTTAAACACCAACACAACTTTTACTTTTCCATAGAAAAGTAAAAACACAAAAACACTTAATGATGTTTTTTTTGTCTGAAACCATTATGACGACGACTATACCACTACCAAATTACACGATTATTATGAATATAATTTAAGGTATAATTGTTGCTTGAGTGGTGTAACTAAGTGGGGTATTACGTTATGCCATGGCGCCTATCTTCACTTGGAAACTTGGTTAACTAAGAAAATCGCAACCAAAAAAATTTAAAAAAAAAAATAAATGAAAGATAAAACTGAAACAACACTTTGTTCCGCTTTGTGCCTTAAAATATATTAATATTTATTGTTTGCTAACTTCATTTTCACCCATTTTTATTTTTTTTGCTAACTTTCCTTAGTTGGAAATATATATAAAGACAGGTAGGTGTTGATAATTGCAACTATTAACATATTAAAAAAAATCAATTATAAAAGAATATTTAGTTTTAAGAATAAAAAATAAGTATAAGTGTGGCTAGCAATATGTTGGTACAATTCTAAGTTTCCGAATATTTTGAATAATAAATTCTCGCTGTGTATCAGCCACACAATTATCTTGAAGGATTATCTGAGTTGTAAGAGTGGATTTTTTAGGAATATTTTGAAAGAATATAGGAAAGAATATATAATGGAACAGATAAACGACAAATAATTTTCAAAATGTCACAAATTAGGAATATTTTTATTTAAGCGGATGTGTCTCATACATATTATCTAATATCAAAAGTTTAAAGATATTTTTAGGGACATTTAATTTTTTCTACATTTTTTAAAATACCACTTATGCAGACTCCATTGTAACCAAACACATTTTGTTTAAATGTCTTGATTTGTGCCACAATTATGAGCTTAATGGAAGGTAAAATTACATGCCAGGGTATTTTTTTCCATTTTGCTGGCGTTTAATTTTTGTCACGACGACTGACAAATAAAATGTTGGTTAAATGTTTCCAAAGAAAATAATTTTTTTTTGCAAAAAATAGTATTTTTAACTCGATCACACGATATCACACACACAACAACCATGTCGTCTTGTAAAGAAGAAGCTACGTTACACTATCGACAGCATGAAAGCAACGAAGTAAAATAAGAAATAAAGGAAAAACTTCCTGAATTGCCACACTTTTATGCATGGCAGATTTTGTATGGATGTTGGTATGTGTGTGTTTAGTTATAAATATTCAAGTAACGTCTAGAATTACATATTTTTTAACAAAATGATACATCTGCAAAGTTAGCATAACCACCGTTATGCCATACGTATATAGAGAAGTAAGGAGTGGGTTTTAATTTTCCATATAATATGTAAAATTGTCAGGTTTTGTTTCTTGGAAATAATTAAACATTTAAATTAGTGGGAGTATCACTTACTAAATTATTTAAATAGTTTCCTAGCAAATGAGGAACGAAGTTTAAATATACTAGATACAGTGCAATGATAGTAGCACAGTGACAATCTTGCGGAAATGATCTTCAAGGTTTCGGAAGTAGAAATTCAGCTACAGGAAATATAAGCAGTGCTATGGGAAACTCAATAATATATGTTTTTGAAAAGCAATAAATGTATATTTCAAACAAGATTTTTCTAGGAAATACAGATTTTTTTTGAAGGATTATCTAAGCCCAAAATGGGGATACTTGGAATCAGGGCCCTATCAGAGTCATGGACGATTTTCTTAATATATTTTTAAGGACTGTTAACTTATTTTTTAGAAAATATTTTTGTGGTGTATTGACAGGGAGTTGTGTCGACGAACTATCCGAACCTTATGTGTGGCTTCTTTTTAATATTTTTTGAAGGACTATCAAGCTTGGATTTTTTAAGAATATTTTTCAAGGGAATACAGTACCTAAAGCATATGTTTTTTGTTTTTTTT